AGGAATGGCTATTGTGTTTGATAACTTTGGAAAAGCTGTGTCAGTTACCGTGCATTGCACCAGAGACTGTTTCCAAACAAGCTCCAGAAGACACTCGTCACTCAGGGTAACAAGCCAACCGACTTTGGGCTTTTTTCTCGAGTTTCTGGACATCGGCAACCAAATGTTTGCCATGTCGTGAAAGACACTCTGGAGGTCCATCGCAAGACGTAGGGCTCTTGCCGCATCGCTTCCACTGACGCGTTTTCTGGGTTTTAGAATCAAGAGTAGCCAAATATGCTTTCAGTCAAAGTCGATTTTTCAGCCATAATCGCTGCGAAATACCACGGCAGAGATGCTCTGGAGAGATCATCGACTGGGTTCACATACGTTTTACAATGGATGTTCAAAAATTCCCTGGAGATTTCACAACATACACATGGAAATGGGCAAAGACTTTCAGGACATCTAATGTTACAACACTGATCCGATGCGGGCCTACCTCCTCATGACCGCCTTTCTGAATCCAAAAAAATTGTGAAGGGAGCGAGTAATTTGAAGTCTAACTAGATTCTGCACCCCAGAAGAAGAGCTGGCATGTCGTACAATCCACATTCCAGTAAAGAATCCCACCAAACAATTTGATTCAGTTCACAAAGTGTAGGCTTCACTTAAAAGTCCTAAAATAATGTTCAAATCAATTCATATCAAAGAGAACGATGAAAGCATAGAACCTTAGAGCTATTAAACGGACTGTTGATTACCCATGTGGACTTGAGAGCTATTATCTTTCTGAATTTGCTCCGGAATTGAGAAGTCTCCGAACTTTTGAGACTATAAAAACACCTACTTTTTAATTGCGATTTTCGATTTCGAGAAGCGATGTAGCACATCGTATTCTAGACTTGATTTTCTATATAATGTGTAATTATAATGATTATAATGAGTATTCTAGACTTGATTTTCTATATAATGTGTAATTATAATGATTATAATGAATAATTAGAATAATTACACGTTATATAGAAAATCATAATTATAACGATTCGGGACATTTCGTAGTCTATTGGCTGCGCTATGTCAAGAGCAAAAAGTTTTCAAACTTGTGGCCGCTACTGTTTGCACGGGGTCCATAGTTTCCTCAACCAGTTGCCTTCATGGACTATCTCACAATAAATCTTCTTCAATGGGCTTCGCTGCATTAAAAGTTCTGACAAATGTCTCTTTGAAACAGAACACTTGTTCTCCCTAAAAGGACATGCAACAAGGCCTTCAATACGCAATGCTTGTTGTAAAGCCTAAATGTTATGAGTTGTCGTTGAATATCGTCATAAGGGGTGTTAATTAGCAGTCATCATTTATCTGTTGTCGAGCCCATTAGAACACAGTTGATAACTTTTAAGAGATAATATGTACACATAGGAAGCGCCATTTTGGAAACTCGAGTGTATACAGGTGACTATAAATGTTGGGATTTCTTTAGAGGAAATGTTCACCAGTGGCGCAGTTGAAATGAATCGACAAGCGACAGCAAATTTGTTATTCATCGGACTAGGAGCCGGCCGGTTATCTGAACTCTTTTCTTCATGCTACGTTCCCAAAGGTAAGCGCTTTATGTGTAAAACTGCCTTCATGTCTGCGTCACGCAGGGTGAATCTAGGATCAAGCCAGACGTTGAGGAAAATTTCTCCCTCAGTTACCCCCCCCCCACAGTAGCCGAAGTCCGTGAGTTATTCTATTCACGAACCGTGTTATGAAAACTGTTTAACCCTCCCAAAGATCTTTTTTTTTCAAAGAAAACAACTCTGCTGTCCCACCCTCTACCACAAAATCCTTCACCAAGTCGAAGAAAGATCATTGGGAGCCAATCTTACAAAGGAAATGAAAAATTATGATCTAGGCATCTGATTGGTCTCAGGTGTTGTCCGAGTGATTTATCTACTATTGAAATTTGAACACATATTCAAATGACTATAACCCTTCATAGTTGACGAATTTGTAATCTGAGAGCAGATTTGGAAGTTTTGTGAAGAGTTTCTTTTCAATCAGTACAAAAATTTATAAGAAATAACAAATTTAGATCAATTAACGAGGAAAATTCATGATGAGCACGAGTTTTTACACTTTCCGAAGCCATAACTTGCTTCTTTCGTCAAATCTGAAAAGTTAATATGTCAGACAAAACTAGAAGATTTGCTCTATCAAATGTTACTAGAACAGCTTATACGTCCAGTATTAAAAAATGGCCACGTTGAGGATTTTTGCCCGAGTACCGCCGAAAGGTACTTTTTCGCTGCATTGGCACTATTTCAACGACTATAGCTCCTTTCAGGGGCGATTATATACTAAAGTAGGAGCAGATTCGGAATCCTCGTGCTTTTCTTTCCAAAAGTGTAAAATTGTTTAGCGTTTAAGATTACATGCTTATGAATTTGACGCTGAAGGCTGCATTTCTTGTTGAATAGTGTACTCCTCCCTGTAATTTCACATGAACCCTTTCAGAATCCTCTTGATTTTTCCTGAATTCGAGATTTTTTCTCCAGAGAGCCGTAGCTGAAGCGCGCGAAATAACTGGGCCCACTCTGGGACATTTCACATCCTTTCATATTGGTGGACTCATTCGAAAGATAAAATATCCGTCGAAATACGTGCCAATTTCGGATTCTTAACTTTGCTGTAAAAAATACCGAGGTAGCTAAAAATTACTATGCGACCCCCTTGGAAGCAGAAAAATGTTATGCGAGCGGAGTAACATTGTTACGGGGATACTCCTGCTTGTACAGCATCGATCACTTTCAAGTATTTGTGTTCTTGGAGTCTTCCGACAGTGATGATTATGTATATTGCATCAATCCGGCCCGACCGACTCCTTCCAGCGGGCCAAATACACGTTCCCCCTGTCGACCTGTCGAGGAATCCTCAACGCACGCTTGTCCCCTGCCTCCACACTAGCACACCTACCACTTCTAGCCACGGTAAGGGCTTCTTAGGTGGGTATGAGCCTGAATTTTGCCTTCAACAATATTCTCTTTCAGATGAATTTGACAGGAGTAGAGATTGAACCTGAACTGGTAAAAGTTGCTCGGAAATGGTTTGGTCTAATCTTAGATGACCGGCAACGAGTTTATACGATGGACGGCGTCAAATTCATCAAGATGGCCGTAAGAGAAGGTAACGGTGACTGACGACCAAATTCTAATCGAAGATTTGATATCAGACTTGATTTAGGACGGAAATACGACGTGGTAGTTCTGGATGCGTGCTTAGTGGATATGAGTTATGAATTCAATTGTCCGATTAAGCAGTTTCTCGAGCGTAAACATTTGGAAAATGTTTCGAAATTGATGACGGAGAAAGGTCCGAGTTTGTGATTCTTACCACACGCTTGCGCTTCACTGGTGTTTCCCCTCCTAGAATCATATGAACTACTTTTCCTAGTCAGAGCATTTTTCGCCTGTAGTCAAACTCAAAGGCACTATCCATGGTGAAATTGTTCTTATTTTTCCGCGAGTAATTCGTTTATTTATTGGGCGGAAGTGGTGTAGTGGCAAGTGGCACGCTTACCACGCGAGCGGTCCGGGGATCAAATCCTGGGTCGTGAGTCGCCCGGGCCAACCAAGCCTTCCATCCCTCCGGGGTCGGTTAATTGGTACCAGACTTGTCTGGGAGGATAAAACACTGACTTGTACATCGGCTGGCCCCGCAAGTCATTGTATAGGCCACATCGCATTCAAACGCCACTACGAATGTACAAATGGAAGTAGAATGCGTGCCGCATCCCAAAAGGGATTGATCAACGGCAAATGCTTTATCCTTTTTATCCTTCAATCCGTTTATAATATCGGGAATGTTTGTATTCCTCAAGTGAATTCCGCGGCTTTGACGGAACTTCCTCACTATCTGTCGTATAGATGCGTTCGGAGAATTGAGGCATGACCCAACATGTGCCATGGAAACCTTTTGAATATCTACCTGTTTCTTTCTTTTTGCCTCTTGTATGGGACAGTCGTCAGGAACTGTGATTTAAACCTTCGCAAAAGTTCAAGTACGCTGTTTTGTATTCCCAAGTACATAGGATCATTCCAGGTGTCGTTCTTGTGAATGTGCTCAGCTTCAAAATGTTTGAAGTTTTAGCAGCAGAGAAGGTATGTTAGCTAAAGAAGATAGGATCACTAAAAAATGAGTCGAAGCATTCAGTATGAACATAAGTTGAAGAGAACAATCAAAGGGGTCAAAGAAGGAATTCAGTGTGATAGCCTGTTTGTGCGAAGCTCGAAAAGAGCGAAGGTGATACAATGGGAAGAGAGCCATTGACTTCCTGCCACCAAAGCTCAGATCGATATGAACCACCCAACTTCCCCCCCCCCGCCATAGGAGCCAATGAGTGAAGCTAGACGCGTCTGATAGGACAAAAACGCTGAGGTCAGGGGTACCCCCAGGAGGCCCGTCGCGCGGCAAGAAGGCAGAGTCGGCGGACGAGTTGCAGCGCGTGGTGTGCGATGTAGGACGTGCAGTGGGACACTATTTAACTTGACGCGAAATCCCTATAGTACGCGCCCGACTGACCTTGCCTTCTTGCCGCGCGACGGGCCTCCTGGGGGGTATCCTGAGGTCAGTTGTACGTCAGCTGGCAATCACTGTGGAGTTTCTGAATACAGATTCCTATTCTACTTTCTTTTATTTGTTTTGACACGAACTCATTATTTAGTCTTATACATGCTAAAGGCTTAAAAACTGAAAGCTTGGTGTCAGGTAAGGGGCGTCACTTGGTAATCACCTTTTCCCAAAAAGGTGATGGGCTATCGGCTCCGTCCAAAAAGCAATGGTAAACCGAGACGTCGGACTAAGAGTGCCCCAACCTTTCCATAGTGAGCCTCCTGACATACACTCATAAACACGGAAATTTGGAATCCCGCCACGGTTAGCGTCCTCCAAGTGATTCCTAGATGAGAATAGCATAACTTTGAGAAGAGGGTACGAACCAAAATACAATCATTATTGAGAACTCTAGGTCAAATCAGTGTATGAAAAAGTGTTCCGCCACTGTACAGCACAACGGGCCAAGGATTCACCTCCAAATATGGTATGCCATTTATGAAGCTTGAATTTGTCCCGGAAAACTCTTCAATCTCTGCGCCCTAAAGTGCTAAAGGAAGAGACAACAGTGTCACTTAATTCTTAAGGTAATATCTTGCACTAATCGCGTTCGACCTGAAGGATTACAAAAACGATACACTGAGTTCGCAAGGAGCTTTATCAAGGAGTGACAGATAGATATTATTTATTGTTGATCTAAACATGAAAACATGTGGCTGATTTCTCTTATGTACATTGAAATAAAGCGTATAGATTGTTTTATTGAAGAGAAAAATAGAAAAATCTTTCTTTTTTCGAATGCTGCATTTCCCTCCACTTCAGGATATGGATTTCATCAACGGGAGCTGAGATTCAGGCAGAACGGGCCTCCATCACCTCCCCGGCTGAGCTCGAGTGCTTATTCGAGTGGTGTGCTACTTATCTGATGCATTGTGTGATCAGTGGGTCCATCGGTTTGAAAGCACAAGTCTGGGTTCAAGGATTGGGTAGATTTGGCCCATTACCCAGCACAGTTTCATTGAATGAAGTCTTCGAAGGCACAACCAGGATGAGTTCAGGTAGATAAATCGTTGGTCGGTAGAATACCCATTCATGCAGGCCAACAAGTGTCCCGTGCTCCCGGCTTTGAAGTGCTCAGCAGAGGCGCCGGAAGGATGTACTTCTACCGCTTCGATTTTTTCTTGACATGCCAGTGTCTGGCGCTTCTCATCAGTTGTGCTCTCTCGTCTATCCTCCGCCTTTCTCTTTCGCGCTACTTACTCATTCTCACATTGTCCTACCACAGTCGAATCAAGTTGTTGATCAAGCTCTTAACTTCAGCTTTTAAAGGCAAATTCCGAGATTTCAAGCTCTTAACTTCAGCTTTAAAGGCAAAGTTCCGGGATTTCTGGCGAAATTTAGGTTTTCCCCGTCAAATATGCAGCAGTACGCAAGGGCAGACCATGTGCAGAAGTGGCGGGGCGTTTTGATAAGGTTTAGGCGCTAGGAGCCTAGGTTGGAGCATTGGCGCCGCCCCAACCCCATTGAGCCCGCCCACCGTCCTACGTGATCTTCCAAACAACCACCTGGAACGCTAGATGTTAAGCCGTTGTTTGGAAAGTCGTAGGGGAATATTTAGCGGATTTCAACTGCGAAAATCAACATCAAAGCCTATGTTACGACCATTTTCGAGAACGTTGTCATCATTCTAGTGAGAAAAAAATTTTAAGATAGGAAGCAAACAAAAAAGCACAGAAAAATAGAAAAAATAGGGAAACTAGAAAATCAGTTTTCATTGCTGACTTTTTGTGGCCGTGTCGGTTGATGGCACAAAGCCAACAGTTGCTGTAGACATGTCCAAACACGTAATTTTCCCAGCCCTGGTTCGTAAGCGACTAACGAAGAGGAATTTCTAATTTTGGAGTTCTTTGGAGGTATTTCCTGTTTTTTTCATTACCTTCGATCAACTTAGCATCCAGCTCTTACTCGAACAGGTGAGTCCCTCGTTTTGTCCCGGAGTTTGCCTTTAACGGATTTATTCCTTTTCACTTTACTGCTGCCCCTTTTTGCTCCAATGCTTCCATATTTGCGGGCGAGGACCACACCATTTAATCCTAAACCGTGCTTACAAATGAAGAGCTCCCGCTAACTATCAGATTTATTGTCGTATTGAATGTGTTACAATTTGTCTACCGGTAACCTGCTGGATGTTAATCAAGAGTTAATTTGCGGCGACGCCTAGAAACTCGGGCACCGCGAGCAACGCTATTTGCCATGTCGTTTTCGCTTCTCCTCCCACGAGTACCCCCAGGAGGCCCGTCGCGCGGCAAGAAGGCGAGTCAGCGGACGAGTCGCGCGCGTACTGTAGGGATTTCGCGTCAAGTTAAATAGAATGTCCCATTGCACGTCCTACATCGCACATCACGCGCTGCGACTCGTCCGCGACTCTGCCTTCTTGCCGCGCGTACCCCTCCTCCCACATTTCGGGGATCCCTTGACCGACACCCATCTCATAGGATAATCCAGGTGAAATTTCAGAACTCGTGAATGTCTTTGGTTTCAAATGGCCGGCCTTGTTTGAATTTGAGGACAGATCTTTGAGTCGGCAGTCAGTGCTCTAGTTGGAGATGCTAACGCCAAAACTTGACACTGTAATCCGCATTGGGATCCTCGTCTTTACTACGATTATAAGCTCCTCAGGAACAATGGAGGTCAGCAAGAAATTGCGTTCAGAGTTGGCGTACATGCGATTAGGCGATTGGGCGATTAAGCGAGTAGGCCACTAGAAGATCGCTCAATGGGCGGATGACACAACTAATTTTTCCTCCTCATCTATTCGTTTACTCGCCTAATCGCCTAATCAATACATATGTTTTCCTTTTGGAATCGTCGCCTGATCGCCTAATCGCATGTGCGATCCCCAAGTTTGAACACTGCCTGAGGGTCTGCTCGAGGCTGGCACATGCAGAAAAAAGGTATGGGCTTTCAAATATTTTCAGCACAGTTGACCGCTTTGTTCAGTTTAGCCTTCCCGGCTTGTAAAGTGTCTCTGATGGTGAGTGCTGTGTTTCACTTCAATTCTTAAAGCGAACGATACCACGGAAATGTCTCCAGCGATTTCAATCGATAGGTATCCAATCTTGTCAGCACAATCTCCTCCTCTACTACTATCCTAATATCCTATCGCCTCCTATCCTAATCTCTCGAGTTGCGAATCTATGAACGCGGCCTAATAGAGCGCGCCAATACTTTCTGCACGAAATCTTTGAAATGAAAAAACAGACTAAACGAGGTTATGGGATGAATGTGCGCTTCAAAGGCCCACTTTGATGACACGTTAAATGAGTTGGGCTTTTCTCTAGAATGAAACTTATCATTTGCTGAAGACTTGATTGAGTTTATGCAATCGACTGCTATTAAGTAGGCTGGTCATACAATGATACAATGTGCACGTACCACTACAAATAGAATTTGTAAGTAGGGACGCTCTAGTGTCAGCGCAAGCTACGTAACGGAATCGACGACTTTTGCGTTCTGACTTATCAGCCTTTCATCACGTTTCCATCACGTACCAACAATGTCCCGTCCCATCCCACGTATTACTTTGTAAGTATGGATGCTGTTTTGTCAACGCGAGCCAGGGATTCGACGACTTTTGCGTTCTGACGCGCCTTATCAGCCTTTATCAATTGTTATCACTTCCAATCACCCATCAACAATGTTCCCGTCCCACCCCTTATAACACTTGTAAGTATGGTTGCTCTGGTGTCAATGCGAGCCAGGTAACGGAATCGACGACTTTTGCGTTCTAAAGCATCTTATCAGCCCTTATCAGTTGCTCGCCTTTCATTCATGTACCAATGTCTTGGGATCACCCCACATAACACTTGTAAGTATAGACGATCTAGTAATAATATGAACGACAAAACGAAATTGGCGATGCTCGCTTTCTAGCCCCTCTTATCAGCTATTATCAGTCAGTTATCAGTTCCTATCATACCACTTGTGTCCCCATCCCACCCCCTATAACATATGTAAGAACCATGGCGCTATCATTGCTGTGACCCGAGCTATGAATTTCCGGTCAGACAGACAAACACACACACACACAGTAGGATAGGATAGTTCACTGTATGTTACGCGATGCATTCATTAAGGTATAAAATTTCGCTGAATTACTCACTTGAAATCGTTGTGGCTGAGTGTTTGGCCGAAGATTTTAGAGCGCTACTGTATGCTGCTATCATCTTGTGATAGATGCAACGAAGGGAGCAACTTTTTGGCTTTAATCGCTTCCGTGTTCTTCTATGGTTTCAAGGCGCTTATTTCTGCTGGCACGGTGTTGGTGTTTTTCACTAGTTCATTGATAGCTTACACCTCTTCCAGAAGTAAGCTTTTAATGGACTTGTAAAAAGAACAAACACTTCTTCTTTGGAACCGAACAGCGTTTCATTGTGGTTATGTAAGAAATTCACGCACCTTTCAAAGTGAGCCAAAGTTCATGAATCTGATCTTGAAGTTCTCTTGTATTATTGCTTGAATATGTTTTTTTTTGAGTTACGCTACAATAATAATCATAGCGAACACATTTTGACACTTTGTAGGTGCAAGCCATTGATCATGGTCAACAATCAGGACTCATCGTTGCGTTGTCCAAAGTCGAGACTTGAACGTAATCCAGCAACGAACAGAAAGGTATCCAGTTCAGATGTCTTCGCATGAAAATGATATCCAGCGGAGATTTTCACAATTTTTATCAGTGATACATTCAAACAATGAATGCTCGTACGGTAAGGGACTTACGGAAAGCCTTGAGTGCTTCTATTCCTCCATCATCAAGTGAGTCGTGGAAATGATTTTGGCTATCATTGGGAAATGCCAGAGTCGAAGAAGAAATGAGTGATTATTCCAGCTCTCACTGAGCAAATGGTCATAAAGCTTGACCGGAGTTGTCAGAAAGTCTTTTTAGTAAATCATTAAGTGACATTTTTAAGCAACACTGGGTTAAATAACAATAACAATAGTCAACTGCGCAGGTGCAACAATCACTTTGTTATTTATTGAAAAAAAAGAATCGGGAACTGAAACAATATGCCTATCAAGAAGATAGAGCACGTACAGTTCTATAAGATCACAAAGATCAGAAATCGTTATGCGCAGGACATCTTCGCGCGAAGGGGTTTCACTTTTCATCTCCAGCAAAAATTTTTTACAGAACTTCAGAGAAGAGGTCGGAAGTGGACCGGTGATGATAAACCTATTACACTGCTGTGCAAAACTTAGGGACGAAAGCAACTTTCGATCACTGTGCCTCTGCCAGACAACATAGCTCGATGAAATTCATATCATATCAAGAGAGAACCTTAACGATATTGTACAGAAAGCAACTGACAGAAACTCGGAATAAGACGAATAGTTATGACATTTTTATTCAACCATGTCGATTACACATAAGTCTTCACGATTTATCCTGGTACTACAAAAGAAGTTACACGGATCCTAATAGGGTGTGTGATCACCACGGACAGCAATACATGCTCTGCAACGCGATCCCATACTCTCCACGAGGTTGGTAATGAGTTCCTGGGGCAGGGCATTCCACTCCTCAATCAGTGCATTTGACAATTGCTGGATCGTCATTGGTGCATTTGGTCGTGCTGCAATGCGTCTACCCAGTGCATCCCACACGTGCTCGATGGGATTTAGGTCGGGGGAACGGGCGGGCCACTCCATTCGCCGGATATCCTCTCGTTCTAGAAGCTCCTCCACCTGTGCTGTTCGATGCGGTCGCGCATTGTCATCCATGAAAATGAAGTCAGGGCCGATTGCAGCTCTGAAAAGACGGACATGATGTAGGAGAACCTCGTCGCAGTAACGCTGACTGGTGAGGGTTCCATGCTCAAAAATCTGGAGGTCAGTACGGCCATGCAACATGATGCCTCCCCATACCATAACACCTCGACCACCAGAACGATCACGTTCGACAATGTTTCCGGGGGAGTTGCGTGTTCCCACCTCTCGCCATATGAGGGTGCGTCCAGAATCACTGCTCAGACTGAACCTGCTCTCATCCGAAAAGAGCACACGGCTCCATTCCTCATCGGTCCATTCGCCATGCTCCTGGCACCACCGTAAACGGTCTCGCCGATGCGCGGGGGTCAAAGGAACACAACGTAGCGGTCGTCGGGCGAAGAGACCACCCCCATGCAGTCGTCTTGCCACTGTAGTGCGTGAGATGGCTTGCCCTAGAGTCCTGTTAAACGTCGTTGCAATAGCCGAAGCCGACTGACGAGGATCTCTTCTTGCCTGCTGCACAATGTAGCGGTCGTCCCTTGGTGTAGTTGTCCTTGGTCGGCCACCTCCTCGTCTTCGGGCAGCAGTACCAAAGGTTCGGAACGCTCTCCATGCACGTGAAACAACGCTGTGAGCGATACCGAACTCCTGGGCTACACTCGTCATGGTTCGACCTTCTTCGAGTTTCCCTATGATCCTTCCTCGAGTGAAGTCATCCAGATGCTCTCTTCGGGACATGATGTATCGAAGGATACTACCACAGTTCTTTGCAGCTACTCGTTGATTGAGAAAAAATTTTTTTCATACCCATAGACTGCCTCGATTTGCGCGGTCGGCCATATTTGGCACTTTATTCAAGCTCTTCTTCCACCGAGAAAAGTCTAGCTTCCTGTGCATATCCCTTAGGCGAGTGGCAACATGCTCCCACACTTTCATTTACTTCCACCCAGTCATTAGTGTTTTATGTTACTTTATCCATCTCGTCCCTAAGTTTTGCACACCAGTGTAGTTAATAAATTTAAATTGATCTTTTTTTCAGTGTTACAAAGAATTGAGTTCGGAGCGATACTGACGACTAACAAACACTATATTCGAAATTTATTCAAGTTAAGTGACATAGCAATGTAGTATATGAGTAAATGAAAGAGCTGGATCGATATCGATTGCACGAAAATGGACTACACTTATTAGATTATTATGAATCGGTGGAGAAAGGATTCATTGAATTCCAGCTCACCTTTCCCACTCAACAATCGTTTGAAATTTTATCATCATAAACATTCCCACTATTATAAAGCCGTACACGTCTATCGTTGTAATTACATGTGATGAACTTGATGCGAACACCTTTCAAGGAGGAGTATAGATGAGTTCTTAGGGCAAAGATATTTCAATGGAAAAAGGGAACTTCGTGGAGCAAAAAAGAGAAAGAGGAGAGAATTTCAATTGCGTCGACTACCCTGATATGATGTTGCGTTTTCATATTGTGCTGATGCTTAACGGAAATCGTTACTGATATCTTCAAATGCACCCCCACCTTACCTTCGGGTCTAAGTTTTGATGTTGTTCACCAGCACAGTGTTCCTTTGTGGACCAGCACTATATGGCATGTGCGGCAGACTGCCGCAAAAATCCGTGGTCGTAATCACCGACGGTGCCGCAATCATTGACATATTAGAATGAAGTGACGAGGGTCCGAGTTGATGGTGTAAGGTGAGTGGAGCCTGCAAGAACGTACTGTGGTGGATAAGTAAGTAAGTACATGTTCAATGCAGTTTCAGGGTACTCATCATAAAAGAATGGTAACGGAAAGGGAGAAATTGTTGACGCTTCGCGTCATCAAATAAGCAGCGGGCTCGAGATGAAACTCCGAAATGACATTTCTACAAACCGACAGGGCTCTTCCCTCCACGTTTGGTTAAGCGGTACCAGAATCGGATAAAAGCACAGACCAGAAAGGGTAATCGTCCTCAGTCTTTGTACCTAAACCGCATTCAGCTAGTGGATCGTGGATCGAGTTCAAATAGTCTCTGTCGCAAATGCCATTGCAGCCAATTACGCGATTTCCATGGCGGCTGGCATGAGGGGCTTACGATCGGTGGTCGACACGCCCACTTCGAAGGCGTTCAACTCCTTTCGCGGCTTTCCAAGGTGAGTTTTTTTTGTTCAGTCACACTTCTTATGTTCTTGACTAGGGCTAGCGCATCGTTTATTTATTTATTCATTGGCCAATCACTGCAGAAAGTAATATATAGTTTGCAATCACTTCGAAGTAATATATAGTGGTTATCGAGAATTTATCGAAGAAGTGGACACTATTGGACTTTATTTAACCCTTTCGGCCCTGGCGGTGGCAATTGCCACCACCAAATTCAAACGCTTGCATTGCCGCTGAAACAGCATGGTTTTTCTAATCCTGCTAGAGTTGCTTCAGTCAACCTTCCCCTTCCTAATTATGAGCTAAACCTGCCATTTCATTGTGTGTTGCTGTTAGTATTACAAGTATTTGTGTACAAGTGCAACAATGAATGGGCGCTGACCCCCGCAACCGGCCAAGTAAGTGTGACTTTTCTTAAAATACTTGAAGTAGATCCATTCCTAAATCAAAATTATGGGTTATAATGTTATGCAAGATTATAAACTTTTTCGGCATAACTATGAAATTTCGAATTGTTTCGACATAAGCTTAAAAACTAAGAAGGTGGGCCAATTTTCAAAGCTTCTTAGTTTCTTTGTTTGTGATCGAATAGCTTCCAAATTTCGCCATAATGATACCTATATGCTCACAAGTAATAAACAATAGCTAGAAGAAAAATTTCTCCACGGGGAAAAATTCAGGTCCGAAAGGGTTAAAAGGTCATCTTGCCCTCATGGTGCGAAGGTTTGGCTCGTACCATTATTGATCCACCCATGGGAAAGGGTTCATGGCGCATTCCAGAAAAGTGATACTGATTGCGGTATGATCAATTGTCTACTTTTTCAATCAACGGCATGGTAGATGCAGGTGGGTCCATGGAAGGTCCACGTATAGACCTTGTGTCGTACCCAGCGATGACTAGGCAATATTCTTAGCAGGGGTTGAGGCGCTGTGTAAATAGGTACTCAGGAATGGGACTGGGAAGCTAGAAATTCGACAAGATCAACTTTTGTCATCATCACAATATCACCAAGCTAAATTGTTGCCTCTCTTTCTGATTTCATAGCACTTACTTGAACACATTCACTATGCATTTTAATGGCAGTCAAGGTCACTTAAACACCTAATAAACCGTAACCATGTTATTCAAGAGTTAATGAAAATATCCGCAGTTCCCACAATTCACAAGATGCGTTCGAAATGAGGCGAAATTTTCAATGGTTACCTTGACTGGCGCCAACATTAAAGCTCGTAAATGACCAGTCTCGTTTTTCAGCTGTTCCAATTCTGCACGCAATTTCATGTTCTCTCGTTCAAGTGTAGCCGCACGACATGCCATATCGTCCTCCTCAACAGGGAAACCTCTTTGGTGCCAATCTGCAGCACTAGCAAATGTTACAAAAATATACAAAAACAGAAGGTTCACACAGACTGCAAACCATGAAAAGCAATAGTGAAAGAAATGGGATTGTCTTAGACCCGCCACCGTCATACCTAAACACAGCGACCGAGGAAATGTTGCGGAACTCTCGAGTAAACAGTTATTTACCAGAAAGGCCATACCATTAAGGAAGCTTCCTCGAGTGGAAGAAACTAGAAGGTTAGTGTTTTCTAATGAATACTTCATTTCGTTCCCAAAATGACTCGTTCAAAAAATCGCCCCGTTGGACAATTTTTCATGAATTTTCGGAGCAACTCTTCTGAAAACACGAGTTTTCAACACTCAAACACTTACAGCTC